ACCAATGACATTTTTTCGGAGCAAAATAGGCTTTCTCATTTTTATATATTATATATTATATTATACAAATAAAATAAGTAAAAAAATTTAGTGTGATTATTTATATGCAGCGTAGCAATTTTTTTTATGATTGATTATATTTAAAAATCGATTATAATAAAAATATTTTACATTAATATTGGTAAAAGGGTAGTTTATAAGAGTTGAAAATGGCAAAAGTAAAATATTCTTTCATAAACAATATAAGGGAATTTTTATTTTAAATTATTGCACAATTATAGCATTCCAAGATTTAAAACGTAATTTTTTATCATTTTTTTAGCACAGGGGTGATTTATAAGGGTTGAAAAGTGTTATGAGATACAAATTCTTTCATAAGCAATGAGGGAATTTTTATTTTAAATAATTGCACCGTTAAAGCATTCCAAGCTTTTAAAAAGTAATTTTTTATCATTTTTGTCAATACAGGGGTGGTTTTTAGGGGTTGAAAGGAAAATATTCTTTTATTAGCTATAAGGTAACTTTTATTTTAAATAATGCACGATTTAATCATTCCAAATATTTTTTTTTCATTATTTTTGCATAGGGGTAGTTTTTAAGAGTTAAATAAAGGGTTGAAAAGATCAATTATATCATAAAACATGTTCGATAACATAGAACATTATTCAATCTTTGTGCTTGAACAAGATTTTTATCAATAAAATGCTTAAAACTTAATTTTTTCAATTTTTTTAACTTAGGGGTAGTTTTTACCCTTAAAAAACAAAAATTAGTTTAGTATCATTTTAAAGTGAATTTAATCCTTCATTCATTAATGTAATAATATACAGGGTGTACCTTTTGAAATTTTTGAATAAATTCAACTTCAACGTCACAATATTGGCACACATTTTTAAACACTGTATGAATTTTTGCAAATTTGAAATAAACTGGTTGAATTCCATTGCTTTTAAATTAACCATGCCAAATTTCATTAATAAATAAAGCAAAATGTCGGAGTTATTCTATTTTAAAAAATCACTTCCTCAATTCTTTTCGAAAATTAATAATAACTTGAAAACTATCACATTCCGGCACATAGTACCTTATATGAAAACAGTCTAGAATTTGCCGTATAATTAAAAAATGCATAAATATACATAGTGCTCCATTTAAAGTAACAGAGCTGATGATGACTTCCGGTATAACCGCAAGTGCGAGGAAGTTGACACTATTTTCATTGAATATATGTTTTTGATAAACCTCTGTATACAAATTTTCAGATTTCAATTCTGACTACTTTTCGAGATTTCGAGAAGGTAACTCCGCTCCAAAAAAGGCCAATCGTCCTACTGAAGTGCATGTACAAAATGAAGAAGATATAGATGCTGTTATTGATACATTTATAAGCCAACTCAATGAATTTTTATATCCAATTAAATAAAAAATTGTCTCAGTTCCATGAATTTGCGCAAAACATCCTCAGTGATATTTGAGAAAGTGTGATACTTATTTTTTTATTTCAATGTCAACACCGGAAACACGTGTATATTAAACTTTTTGCTTAAATCATTATCATGATCAAAACACAAACCACCCAGTATTTTTGCCAGTTATGCATTCACATCAGAAAGTGCTTTACAATTAACATTATAAAAATATTCACGAAAATGGATCGCCCTGTATCGTCGTCTAAATCCCAAATCACTTTTTAAATATATTTAAAAACGCCCATTATTATTTAATATTTACGCCTCGTAGGCACTTATTTAAAAATGTGATCAGGATTTTAAGAATACCTCTATATGTCATACATTATAAAAACCTACTCAAAAATTTATTCCGTGTCAGTAGCTTCTTAATATCGCTGTTGGTGCTTTTAAACTTCAACTAGTTTCGACTGACCCTCGCATGACCTCCTAGTCATAGGAGAGGAATTCGGATAGTAGATTTCTACTTTTGACAAACAGTTTAGTTTCATTCATGAATTGATTAGCAAATGAAAAATGAAAGGCAAAAATGTATAGGTAGTTGCAAAAGCGCAAAATTCGGATATAGGTGAATGACTTTTAGGTGTTTCCTAATTGCTTTAAATAAAATCAAAATATTTAGAAAATGTAGAAACAAATTTAAAAATGTTTTCAAATGTTTGACCTGATTTATTGATAAATTTTTCTATAGCAATTTGATATTTTTTACAGCTATAAAAAATTGTCAAGTCGAAAAAGTTTGAGATATGCTTGAAAAAATAATAAATTCTTCTAGGTACTTTTTTTTACTAATTTTTAATACCCTTCTTTTCCAATTTGCCTCCGAGCCCAACAAATATGATGCGTCGACTAATTTCGAGGGCTATACACAAGGAGAAATCTAGCAACTGCACAGTTTTGGCAGCTTTTTAGATTTTAAGGGTAGTTTTTATCATTAAAAAAAACTGGAGGATGTTGAAGTATTTGTCATGGCAGATTCTGTTTCTGGGGGTCTATATGCAAATGTGTCTGCGTTACTTTCGCAGAAACAACATTTCTATAACTTGTATTACATTTTATCATAAATGTTAGGCAAAAACTCACCATTGGCCAATATAGTGAACTTCCCATAAAGATGATTAATGCCTCGTCTTTGTCCATTCACCCTGTAAACAAGAAGGAATTGTAAATCAGCGGATATTACCCGAAATACTCCGTCAGTAACTTGATAACCAACGAATATGAATTGATCACATTATGTCTCTATTTTACTCAAAAATACCCAATAAATAAAGAAAAAAACTAACTTCAGACAGTATAAAAACACAAAGATTGTTGGTTTACGTTTATACTAAAAAAAATTCGAACATTTGGTTATACTCGTAGTAAATACATTTTAAAAATTTGTACTTTATAGGCTGCTAGTATCTAAGGATCAAAAATAAAAGTGATGAAAATTTGAGATGAGAAAAAAATGTTTAATCAATATAATAATTAATTATATTTGTCCTGAGACACATTGAACCATCAAATATGTAGATCAATGCCCCCTTTACCCTGTACGGATGGGTGTACCGCAAGATATAGTTCTGGGCCCGTTTTTAAGGTGTTTTAATTTTAGGGGGGGGGGGGTGACTTTCAATACATGTTTTCGATTTGAGTCCCTCCTAAGAGAATATTCGAATCTCAAAATGGCCGAAAAAATTAGCTTTTATTTTTTTTCGGGAAAACGGTTAAACTTAGAAATTTGAATTTTGGTACATGTTAACAACTAGTTGAATGATATCTTTTGGTAGTTTTTTTTCTGGTGTATGAATTTCAATTAAAGGAATTAGCGCCCCTTGATTTTATTTCTCTTAGAACTTTTTTCTACGTTACCTAATTCCAAAAGAAGAATATCTTTTAATACTACATTTCATTTAGATACTTTTTTCACTCTTCTCATTTTTTCGTTTACTTAATAGTTTACGAGCAATTTCAGGCAGTACTTAAATGTACCTGTCATTGAATGTGTGTCTTGAATGTTTTCTCAGTTCCTTCAGGAGACAAATTTTATGTATACCAACAATCGATTTTGCAGATGCTAATGAAATGACAAATTTAATAAATACAATGTTAGCGGCACAGAAAATATAGCTACGCAGTTATTTTGTCTCTGCTAGCGGTAAAACGAAGAAGGAAATGGATCGAGTTGTTCCTTGTATGAAATCGAGACCGCAAGAAACCAAATGAAGGTCGTTTTTTGACCTCATATTCGTGCATACTTGTCACTGGTTTGATGAGAATTATGCATTCATGCATCGACTGAATTCCATCTGGACTGTTAAATTAGGTTTAGGTATTGGAGTATTGGGGTACCATAATTCGAAAAATTTGGTATAAATTGAAAGCAAAAAGAAAAAATTTTATTTAAATTTTCGTCTCCAAAATATCCGATGAAACGTTGCACATACCTACCTAGTTGGTACACAATTACAATCTCCTTCGAGATCATAATTGATGTCTCCGGTCTTGACGATTTTGTAAAAAGTTACTTTGTAGAAAGTTACAAAGGGCAATCAAGTTTATTTGAATTATAATGATATGCCATAATACATTATAAATTTTAATTAGTAAGGGCCAATATGTTCAGCTTCAGTTCACAGTCACACAATCTATGCAGATTATGAATTAAAATGTATGAAATATATCCTTTTATTCACAATTTCATTGTCATCTGATTAGTCAACCAAGTTTTAGCTAATACTAAAATACTGGCTCTCTGTTATAAAACAATGCACCTATATGGAAAATAGTAATTTTTACCTTGTCTGCCGATATTCGTAGTCCTAGTTCCTCATTATTGCTTCCAGCAGTTCCAGCAGAACCATCAAATATAATAACTATAAAAACACTCACAAACTGCACCACAAAACACAAATAGGTGTAAAAGTCAATCCGCGATTCATGTATTTATTGGAAAATTATATATTTTTACCAAATCGAATGGTTTAACAAAATTTTATAAGCAACGCCAACAGAAACAATGGACTAATAATAATCGTAATAACCACAGCCATCGTAATAATCACAGCCTACTCATCCTATATTACTTTTTGCAGAAGTTTTTCCAAGACCTTCTGTCGTCCAAATCGTGTAAAAAGAGAATTCACGTTAGCTGGAATATTCCCAAGTACCTATTTATTCATAATGCAGACACTTTAATTATTTAAATTATTATTTGAAGATTAATTAAACCATTCTAATTAAATTTTCTGAATTAATGGTGCAAAAAGTATCAATGATTTTCCATGATGTATTTGCCTGTAAAATACAACTTCTGAGGTGAAAACGCGAGCAATCATGAAAGGTCTAAAAACTATAACATTTTTTAGGCAAATATTCCCATTGGTCACGTATTAAAGTACTGGGCGTTAACTGACGCATACTAGATTGGTATATGTCGTTTGAATTGAGCTTAACACATGTCTTCTGTGTTCTGTGATCTTTTCATTCCTAACAAACAATCCTAACCTCAATCTCAATATTATTTTAATAAGAATCGAAATGTAATATGTAAACAAATAAATAAATAAATATGGCTTTCGCATTAACAAGTAAATTATACCCTGCAAACCATAAAACGGTTTTTGTGTTAGACCACACTCCTTATTTTGGAATATCATGTGAAAATCCAATAGAATTTGAATTTTTGAAAAGTCGTGCCCCCGGTTTTATCCCTATGAACCCTATTTCTAAGTCTCTATGGACATCTAGTGTTGAATCTGCTATCGAATATTGTAGGATTGTATGGGACTTATTCCCTCAAGGAAAATTGGTAAGGACAATTATTTTAATTTAATAGTTAATTTTCTTATCACAAATCTGTTTGTAGGTTAGATTTATAGCTAGCGATACAGTGGCACATATTTTGAACACATGGAGCCCTACACAACAAAACTTGACACATGTAAATCTACAAATGTTTATAATTTAAATATAAAATGCTCCCACTGAACTGACTTTTTCACAGATAATGAATGGCATGTCGCTGATAGGGGTACCACCTCCCCCCCATCCACCCCCATCAATACGATCAGTAAGTACACCCTTAGATTACACCGTTTTACACGGTTTAAGAGCTGCGATAGAGGCTCTCAGCGAGGTAACGGATTTGCAACAAGAAAAAATAAAGAGCTCATTAGACGGGCAAAAAATTCTCAATAAATGCCGAGTGATTTGTATCACATCGGCAAGGGACAATGACAGTATGAAGAGGCTAGAGGATATTTTTTTAACCGTGTTGAAGCAACAAAACAAGGTAGCTGCAGTATCGGAGAGGTAAGTAATGTTTTTATACCTTATTTACTCGTGTTATCATAACTTGGGGTGATTGTTTTAGGTTACTTACAATTGACCATTGTCATTTGGTTATTATAAATACTTTTCCTATAAATATAGAGTCCGAGGTTAATAACCATCCACCGAAAAATGTAAGTTAACAGTTTGATCACGCACGATTCATGAAAGTAAAGAACACGTTGATTTATTTTAGTTAGCTCCCATCTTAACGACGGAAGTTCATTCCATCAAAGCTCCGCAAATCCCAAACAAATTGTCCTCGTTAATATTAGAACACTATGATTTAGCCAGTACCACCGTTACAGGCATTCCGATGAAGGAGGAACAGAACGCTTCCTCTTCTGCAAATTATGACGTAGAAATATTTCACGCGAGTTCGGCACACACCGCCATATTAAAAGGAAATGCTTCGGATTCTGCCGCTATTAGAACCATAAAAGAGGGCTTAGAATACGAAACGGTAAGTAATAACACATAAATAGATCTTATTCATATTCCATTATAGGCAATTCGATAAGTGTCGCCATCTAGAGTTTGGCATTGATGTAATGTTTCTTGTAATGCCCAATAGATGGTGCTGCAGCACAAAATGTTGCAGTTTTTTAATTTATCTTACTGAGGACAGAAATGCTGTTAGTTTTGAATTTTCCTGCATGCAAAAGTGAAATTTTCTTTTAGACAACCTTAAAATGGTGCACCCCAAGGGGAGTATCTGGTTCTGAGCTTCAGAACTGCACCTGCATGCACAGAATCACGCCAGTCGATGTAAACTCTAGGCCGTCTCTTTGCCTCATTAATTTCCTCCTGAACGGCAGATCGGTCATGTTGGAAATGCCGAGAAAGGCAGGCGGGAAGATAACAAGTCACTTACTAGCCGCCCATGGCGGAGAAATTTTTATACACACACTCTGTACAGCGAGGTAAGGAAGGATTACCAAAAGTGTCTTTATTTTCTGTTATTCCTGTTATTCTTATTATAGATCAGTGTTGGAAGACCCGCCGTCAATTTCTGAAGGCTGCGGCGGCAGAGTGACCGATTACCGCATTCCCGACTTTGGCGTGTTAATCAACCAGAACACATTATTTCCAATAAAGGTAAAAAGTAGCGACGAAGGACCCCAACCCATACAAAAAATGAAAACTAGGTTGAGTAGACTTACCAGATATTGGCCTTTAACGATTAGTTCAACGCTTATATTCAATTTGAAAAACGTAAGTATTACAGTGCCATCTATTGACAGCTCCATGAAGTACATCATATATTTGACATTGTATTGATTTGTTCTTGGTATTGTATTTTTTCCAGTACTTTGACCCTCTGCCGACACTCATAACAAAAGAAAAGATCTCCGACGAAGAGGTCTTCCAGTGCAAGAAGATCATATACAACTTAATCTCCCTAGAATCCAAGATGGAACCCTTGCACCCGTTGAACACCGGTCAGAGAATGAAAGGACAGAAAAGAGAGGAACAGTACAAGGCGATGTGGAACGAATTGGAGATGTTGGTGAAAAATAACTTGCACACCGACAATCACAGGAGCGTCTACACGTGTCTGTTGGAGTGCCACAAGTTTAATTTCGAAGAGGACAAGATTGCCGAGAAGGTCGAGTTGGACGAGGCACTGAATCAACTGGATAATATAGGTACGGATAAAATGAAATGTTTTTACTATGGTATTTATTAGGTTCGTAGAATACATCGTTATTCTTTGGTCTGATTGCAATAACTAACCTCATTTATGTGGAAGAAGGGGAGGTATATTATAAAGATTGTTATACAGGATGTCTGGAAAATATAAGCAAAAAAGTGTTATGAGGCTCATAAAATTAATGGTACGAGTTCCTATATCACTTTCATCAACTGAAATAGCCGCAGTTTTTTTATTTTGATTAACATTAAGAAATTTTTCAAAAAAGTTCTCTTGTTCTAAATCAATAACATTAGCCGTTTCCAAAAAAATAGAATGTTAATATTTTGAAAATGAAATTAAAATCTGCCAAATTATTCATCAAATTTTAAAATTGTTATAATTTACTGTGATTTCATCTGAAAACGGTGCAAAACATTTAATGTTTGTTTAGAATTATTTCAAATTGGAGAAATTACATGCTATTTTTAGATAGTCGCACTTTTTCCCCTTTAATTGAATTGAATGATATGAGGTGACACCAGAGGACATGTGTCTATGCAAGAAAAAGTAGCAGACAGACATGTGCATGCAAAAATACTCAAGTTCAAAAAGTGAAATTTATCTAAGAGAAACCACAAGACTGCTTAGAGGTTTAACAAGCCAGTTGTTTCGCTGCTTCTCTAAAAACAAGGTCTGTGCTTCCTCACTCGTATTGCATTGCTCAGAAATTATGCAATGGCACATAATGCTTATACAGGGTGTCCCGAAATTAATGCAACAAAATTTGGTCACAGATTCTTAAAACGAATTTAGAGGACCCATATTTTTTTATTTTTCCCAAGTGGCCCCCTCTTTTGCAGTTCCCTGAAATCCGCCCCTAAGAATAGTCTTTTTTTATATCTCAGAACCCTATCGTATGAGAATCATTAAATTTGGTACACAGGGGTTTTATGATGTGGAATCTGATAGAGCTACGCTTTTTGTCGGGAATCCCCTGAAAACAATTTTTCGTGGGTCCCCTTGTCTTTGAAACCAAAAAAATTTGGTTGCATATTTAAATTTCTTAAAAATTATTTAGTCCACTAGAAAGTCATTAAATTTAGAAACTTTTTTATCCCTTGATACTTTTTTCGTAAAACGCAATGTTTCGTCAAAATGTGATCGAATGCATATTGTGATTCGCCATTTTTTTCAAAAACATCGCGTTTTACGAATAAAATGTCAAGAGATAAAAAAGTTTCTAAATTCAATGGCTTTCTAACGGACCAATAATTTTTAAGAAGTACAAATATGCGGCCAAATCTTTTTGGTTCGGCAAAAATAAAAGTTCCCTAAAGAGTGACCGCAAAAAACCTGTGACTTTCACCCGTTTTTTCACAATTCGCAGAGAATTAAAAAAATACATAAAAATATGTTTTTGGTCGCAAATTACTTGTCGTAAAAAACTGAAATGAGCAGAATTTGATTACCAATTGATATAAAAATTATTAGCTATTATTAACTATTTTTTGGCATTTTTACAATTATTTCTGATATTCTCTATTTTTGGTGATGATTCCACCCCTGAGCGTGCTTAAGGGTGAATTTTCTAATTCAACAGGCTTATTTCAGTCATGAGAATAAATCTTTGTATCAAGAATCATTCGATGGAAAAATTCACATGCTAATAGTTTTTATATTTGTTGGTAATATTCAATTCTTCATTTTGGGCGCCTTTTCAACCCCTAAATAGGGGTGATTTTTGAAAATTTTTAAAAGACTAAAAGCTTTGCCCATTTTAATTTTTTACGATGAGTCATTTGAGACCAAAACCATATTTTTATCTATTTTCTTTAGTTCTCTGCGAATTATGAAAAGATAGGCGATTTTTGTGGTCACTCTTACATATTAAAACTAATAACATTTTTTCTTGGAAATGGTTAATGTTGTCTTTCGTAAGATTTTTTAATATTGTTCAATTTTCTGGAAAACTGCTAATAAAACAGTTATGAACAATTTTCAAGTTAATCAGAGTCTTTCGCCCTTTAGGGCTGTAGAATTTGGTAATTTTTTTTGCCTATTCAGCAATAAATTGTAGTTGTAATAATTTGTACGAGACGAGGAGTTTTATCATATTAAAAGCTGTTTTATATAATTTTTTCTTAATTAACACGATTATTGACTTGAAATTCTCTACTTTTTTTATTTCTTGTCATTTAAATCGCTGTTTTTAGGCCCTGGGAAGTCCGAAGAGCTGCCCCGGGCCTCGGTAATCCGTGCCACGACCGACTCTCCGATGTCCCCACCTCCGTTGGCCAGTATAGCCCCTCCCCTGTCGAGGACCATGAGCAGAAGCAGAGGTATATACAACACACAGCACAGAACGCTCCTAGAAATATTCACCGCTTCTCAAGATAAGGGGAAGTCCAGGCCGGATTTCGCAGGACGGCAAGGTGATAGTTTGGTGGCGAAGTTGTATCCTAACCTTAAGACCGAGGATAGGGGGCCGAGAGAAGGAATGGAGGTGGAGTAATCGTGTGTAGGATAGGGAGTAAGAGGATGATGTATATATTTTTATTTGTTACAGTCTCTTTCGTTAAGGATAAAGTATATTAGTTTCTAATTGTTTTTTTTTAATTTAAAAGCGAATAATAGTTATGCAAACCTCTATTACACAACTTTGCTTTGGAGTATTTTTTAAGGCTATAAAAATGCGGGTGAAATATTGAAAAAAATGTTTAAAATGAACAGAATTTAAAATAAGAAAATAAATTTTTTCTTCCCAAACGAAAACATGTTTTAACCTAATTTTAGGAGAAAAAAAAATTCTAAAAAAAGAATAGTCAGTACATTTTTAAACTGGATTTACAACAAAATTCTTGCTATAAAGTTTGGCATAACCTAGCTAGGAATCTTTGACCTGCCCGTGTTGTTCTCGGGCTAGGCTCTGTGGGAGCGGATTCGAATCAGAATACCGCGATTAAACTGTTATTCTGGAGTACAAAAGCGGTATTGTATACTGCTGTAGTCAACGTTCTTATTGATAGTAATTCTAGTGATGCAGACGAGTTTCGAAATATTTACCAACTTCATCAGTTTTAATATCTAAGAGGTTATGAAAACAAAATGAATTGTCTACAAACCATTCGACAATTGATGCGTTTCAAATGAAAGTGATGACAAATGTTTATACGGGCTAGGAGACGGTCGTAAATTGTTCCTTGTGGTAAGCTTCTGCAAATATCATACGCATAGGCAGATCATTAATTTGTTAAATCGTGATTTCTTCGAAAACATTTTGTCTCCTAGATTTCCTGATTGCGCCTTTTTTTTAGACATCGATTTCTTCAAACAATTTGTCTCCCAGATTTCCTGCATAACTTTTTTTTTAAGGCATCAATTATACAAATGGATCTTGTCTCCGGGTCTATCATGAAATAGATCTGATAACCTTAATCAAGCATTGAAGAATTTTTTATTATCGATTTCTCAGAAAAAAAAGGGAATGTTTTCAATGTCAAATTTTGTGTGCAATATACAGAGTGCGTAAAAAGGGCAAATAGGGGATTCCTAGAATATGAATCTATAGTAGGATCATATTCGATGCAAAGTCATCATTGCCTGTCAAGAGATCCAGTGCAATACGGTTTTAAGGGGTTTAGGAATTGAATTTCTTTATGCATTATGAAGGGATGAAGGGATCAGTTCACGTCTGGCACCCCTGTTCCTACAGAAATTCCTTTATTCTCATAAACTATTTATTTTAAATGCAATTCATTATAAATCCAATTTGTTTTTTAAATTCCACATATGCACTCTGTACGCGCCACTGTGGTTTACTTGTTTTTTGAAGTCGGTCTCTGATTTACGACCAAGCTCGTCAGGTTAGTATTTGACATATAACTGACCACTTCATACACTCGATGCACCTGGACGACTACAGCTAGTACCAGAACACAGTGCTTATGATGCGGTATTTCAGATTTTACATTCAATTTCTTTTTAAATTTTAAATCGTTCATCTTACGCCTCCTAAAAGTGATGACACGATTTTCCTTTGATAAAAGACCGATAATTTTTTGCTCTACTTTGCATCAAATACGATCCTACTTTATATAAGTTATTTTTTTATTAGGATTCTTCAAGTAGATAATTTTTTTTTATCTAATACAAGTATTTTCGTTGTAAAAATGGTATTAGATAATGCACTGTTTCATTAGAACTTATAAAATATATAAAAGCAAACCAGCCATCACGTTAAGTGCAGGAAGCGTAAACATAGTTTGCCACCATCAACACAGAGGGAACATTTGCAAATTGATGCTGCAGTGAAAAAATTACAAAAAATATGTTCCTTGCTCATTTACCATTATCAGAAAATTGATGTTTGTTGATTGAGAAATTCCTCAGAAAATCTTGAATTTTTACTATCAACAGCGAAACAAGATTTGAAAAATATGCTTGAAATTTATAGAAAATGACACCAGTGACAACATATGATCGACTGTTATTTACCATAATGGAAAGTGTTCTGTTCAACCGATAGTATTGATGTCTTTACGAAGTGAAATTGTTACATTGTTAAATTTGAGTTTGTCTTTAAATCCCTGCTATTTTTTCAAATTTTTGTTATATCCATTTTTCTCAACATCACACAGTGGGAAATATTGGAAAAAATTCGAGCCATGTGTCAAAACGAATCAAATAGTACTGATTTTTTTTTATTCTTTCAGAAATTACCTGTACTATAAAGTTTCGGTGAGGTAATTCGAATATATCCCTAGAATTTTTTCAAAATGGCCGAGTAATCTCTAGCCTCAAACTCGATCATACGAAATTTGACATATTCGGTATCTAAAAATGAAAAAAAGGAAAATTGTGTACTAATGGCTGCCAAACAAAAAAAAAATCGGAAACATTAAACACATTCCTAAATCATGAATCTAGACCCAAAACATAACCTCAAATGTTGGTTGCACACTCAGAAAGTACCATTTTTATGGATTTGTACTCACAGGTTTAGAAAAAACTGAGTATGTTCGTTTTAGGTTGATTTATAAATTTGAGGTTATGTTTTGAGTCTTCATGATTTAGGAATATGTTTAATATTCATGATTTTTTTTGTTTGGCAGCCTTTAGTATATAATTTTCCTTTCTTTTTTTTTTCATTTTTAGATACTGAATATGTCAAACTTCGTATGATCGAGTATGAGGCTCGAGATTACTCGGCCATTTTGAAAATATTAAATTATCTCACCGGAACATTATAGTACAGTATGTATTTCCAAAAGAATAAAAGAAAATTAGTACCATTTGATTAGTTTTGAGGCATGGCTCGAATTTTTTCCAATATTTCCCACTGTGCGTCACATAGAAACTACACATTTTAAATAAGAAAATTTTTGTATTTTGAAACAGATCGAATTTCACGGGAAGCTAAGCTGTACACCCTTTTGGAAGTTGCGCCACAACCTTGCTGTGACTCTTTACCACGGCTCTGCCATTTTGACGATGAATGGATTCAAAAAATTTTTTTACACTTGAATATCCTGTTAAAGAACACCTACAGTCCAATGAATGTAGTGACTATTTCTTACAATTAGTTTAAAAAATTCCTCAAAATTGACTCGTTTTCCTCCGTCTAACTGTATATGTCCCCTTAAAACACATCTGTTTCATCGGCTGGTGATTAGCGTATTTTTTCACAAAATTCTATTCAACCAATCAGCATACATTATCTCGAGTGAAGGCATAACGGTTTGTTGCCGTTCATTGTAAACGAATCATTAATATTGGTGACGCCAAGATGTAAGGATTTTTCGTAACCAATACATCGTGCAATGTTGTGTTGCCTAAGCTCGCTGGTCACGTGACTTGTAAACATTTATGAAAAAAAGCTCTGTAGATAAATACACAACTATAAAATACTATCATCGCATTTGAAAGCTTTGTCACAGTTTTAGTTCTTGTAGCGCAGAAGTTTATTTACTTTATTATAGATTATTATTGTTTTAATAAACGGTGTGATAAAAAAGAAGGTATTTAAAAAATGCCACAAATATTTAAAAAAACATGCGATATTCTGAAAAATGTAATTAATCCAACAGCAAAATGATTTGAAAACTTACCGAAAATTTTCACATAAAAGCTTTCCCGTTAAGAACCAGTATGCTAATTTTTTTGGGATGCAAAATTAACTAATTTTTTTTTATGAATATTCGCTGTCTAGGTATACTGTAGAGAATTTTTTTTTGTCCAAGTAACCCTACCATCATTTAAAACACCAGTGTCTTAAATTTCATTGATAATCCAGAATATTTTCTGAAGATCCGAAACTCCACAATTATTCAATCCGGCAATTTTAAGCATGTCAAATTTTAAAAATTATAGGCCTATAAGCTATATTATTTACAATATTTACCAATTATAATCAGCTGTGTCAGTACCTGGCAAATTTTTTATAGTCAGTTTAATATAATGGTTTTAGCTGAACCGAGACGTTTGAACTACTCCATCGGATTTTCAACATCTTGCTAAAATTTTTGCATTATAAACTAATGAAACTTGGGATAATTGACTTTTAACTGAAACTGGTCGAATTTTTATCAGAAAAATTGATTTTCCAAAAAAAAAACAAAAAAAAATCGCAAACCAAGCTCTGTTTCTGAAAAAACTGTCAGATCGGAATAAAAAAACTCAATAAAAAAAAACATAGCTTTGAAAAAGCAATATTCACTGGAAAATCTTAAAGGCTTTCAACTTACCTTAAAAATCTTCCTTGGTCTAAATGCTTTTAAAACACGTCCTTTTGCTGCGATAATGTTAAATAACACTTCAAATTTACGTCTTCGTCCAATTTATTTCAAAATTAATTTTCGAAGGAACGTTTTCAAATTAAAACATTACAGAACCGCCTTACCTGTAACCAATAACATTTCTAAATACCTTGGGTTGTGGGGGTGTGCAAAGAATGACGCAACCTGCCGTGAAATATTTATATTTATGAAAATATCCTACAAAAACCTCAAAACTCATCTACAAATGATATTTTTTACAGTTACATAATATTCCGGATGGTGGACGTCCGCGGAGGCCAGTTAAGAAGCGTGAGGAGAGGGGGGGCATAAAAATGAGAAAATACCTATGTACGTCTCCGGGGACGTCCAGAATCCCCTATTAAAAAATAACACCTCACTATATATATTTATATATTATAATTTAAATTAACAGCTATGTATTTTTTTTGTAAAAGTGTATACGTCTACATTATTTGATAAAAGGCATTCAGTTATTTGTTGTCTCTATATATATTTTATATAAATATTTATATTAAAAATGGAGCTTTGCTATGTTAATCGAAATTACAAAATCGTTAAATATTTTTGTACTCGTTTACTTTTTCACGATTTTATAAAAACGAACACCGAACAATTACATTTGAAGTTGGACGAGGAACGGAACAACTAAAATGTGCTACACCAAATTAAAAGAGTCTACCTTACTTTACTTATTTACAAAAATACAGAAAAACTTCAAATGCAAAAATTCCTGCTTTTCCTATATCTGTTCGCGAGGAACAACGAAACTCAAAAAAAAAATTATAAGACAAACGAAAAACTGGAATGTACCGCGCTTAATACGAAATGAATGCCTAAAGTAAAGGAATACATAAAACAATGCAATAAATTACTTAAACTACCCTAAAAATGGTAATAAATGTTATGATATAGGACAGTATCAAAAAGTATCATATTGACTAAATTATAAATAAAACAACAAAAAAAAAACAAATAAGACGAAACAGCGAATTTTTACATTACTTTGCCACAGTGAAAAAATAGAACAATGGACTCGGTCGCTTGATAAATAAGCATTTGTTTCGAAATATCCCGGGGAGGAAACGCCCTGCTGCTACTGACAAGTAAATTTATACTAAACCTAAGTATCTTCAGTCATATTGTAACAGTGACGGCCTGGACAAGAATTAAAAAAAAAGTGTATCCCTAAAACCAAACACGACACTTCAGTGACGTTATGTTACCATTCCTTAAGGGGATGTGGGTGAGGGTCCTATCATTAATAAAGTAACAGCCGTTGAAGGTACCGGAGCACCATTTGTGTTCGAAACGACGGGCCGAAACGTGCCCGACCCGCCCGTTTTCTGTGAACGATGAACCGGATAAAAAATACCTATTTATCAAAGTTCAATGAAGCGGACTTAGTTCAGTTTTTAGACGCTAATGTACAAAAAAAATAATGTTCAGGGTAGGTCGATTTCGATACTTTTAGGGGAGTTTCCCAAAAAGTAGGTCAAATGTCTCAGGCTCAATTTCTGAGTGAAAATCGTATATTGATAATTTTTGTCAGTTTTCAGTAATGTCAAATTGTTTTATTTGCTTAAATTTTAGATTTTTGTAGAATTTTTATTTTTATTTAGTCCGTGTAGTAATGAATAAAAAAATCTTTCCACAAAAATTGTCATCAGGAAAATAGAATCAAACAAAAAACGGTTTTCACCACTCAATTTTCCTTTCAAATCAAGCCTGGGACATTTGAACTACTTTTTGTTCGTCTCTTCTGGAAATTCGAGAAGCCCCAAAAGTGCCCGAAAGGGCCCACCGTGTCTCAAGACGTTTCAAAAAAATGGAGAAATCCCAACATAAAACCTACGAATTTCCTTTAAGTCACCGAAAGAGCCGAAATGCCACCTTCGTCTGAACTCGAACGTCCGTCAAATCCCCACTAATCCATTTATCTAAACACCCTGCAGAACAGGAGCAGTAAAACGATGGGTCTTCCAGAACACTCACAATTTAAATAATGCTAATATAGTGTATGTGTGTAAATCCTAACCTTAAAATAAGTAAAAAAAAATTATAGGTAATTACGTATTTGTCACTTATCGCCTAGGTCCTCCCGTATCTTTTTGCTAGACGGCTGGATGGCGTCGTCTTCCAGGGGTCGTTTGTTGTAGTCGCCCAAGCTGTTGGAGTCCTCGGACACGATGGAGTCCTTGGTGGATTCAGACACGACGCTGTCGTTTGTCTCCTCGTTTTGGTCTATGGATGGGGGACTGTTGTCCGTGAAGGACGTGGTGGTGTCCTCGTCGATTATGGTCTTGCCGTTGATCGGCCCCTGGTTGCTTTCATCCGACGTGGTGGGGTCTAGTGAGTCGCCGTTCTGGTGAACAACGGTCGGCGGGATGGAATTTCCGTTTTCTAGGAGCGTGCCTGCAAAAATACCTGCAATATAAAAAAAAAACTTTAGTATGCGCAATCGAATTTTGAGATCGGAAAATTGTAAGTTTAAATTACCAAAAATTTAAAAAAGTTTTCAGGTTTGCATCGACTAGATCAAGATTTAGACGAATTATTTCACATTGATGACTAAATGACCAGTCAGTCATTTAATTAAATCTTACCGGAGAACATGACTAGTCACTTTTGTTTATTTATCGGTCAATTTTAATCTTCAAAAATTATATTTCTTTGAATGTGTTTAATTATTTATTCTCAGGAATATTTTCCAAAAACTTCAATATTGGACGCTCTAGAAACTTTTCAGTTTTTGTTGTAAAAGTCACAAAATTCTTAAGGGCCCCACTTCGTTCAATTCGCGTCTCGGTGCTGACTGAGTGTAACAAAATTCTTTCTCGGTTTGGCTTTTTTTCTTCTGTGCATTTTTTTAAACAATGGTACACGTTTATAAAAACAATAAACTTGTAGACATACTTTCAGTTTACAGGGAATAATGACGAAGTGCAATCGCAGCATCTCGTTTATAAATATAAAGATTTCCATGAAGAAATCATTGACCAGCAGAATTGCTAAAATAAAACGAATTTACAAGAATTTTGAAAATTTTTGAAACAAGTAAGAACAAAACAAAGTAACCACATCTTGCGAATCATCTGTATTATAATTTTCCAGAGGTTTAATTATTTATTCTCAGGAATATTTTTCAAAAACTTCAATATTGGACGCTCTAGAAACTTTTCAGTTATTGTTGTAAAAGTCAGAAAATTCTTAAGGGCCCCACTTCGTTCAATTCGCGCGAATCGAGCCACACGAATCTGCATGAACCTGCCAGGCACGCAGTGTGTGCAGAAAAACACAGTTCGGTTTCACCATCGTGCAAAATTTGTTTCGGTTAGATACGTTACCTTTCTTGGTTGGTGCGATTTGGTCCATACGGTCCTGTTCGCACGAATGGAACGAAGTCTGGCGCCCTTCAGAGCTATTTTCAAAGTTGAGTTATTTTTTTAACAAGATGTAGACATAAGTAATTGTACCAAAAATAATCAACATAATTAAAGCAAAACCTGTCTCGGTGCTGACTGAGTGTAACAAAATTCTTTCTCGGTTTCTTTTTTCTTCTGTGCATTTTTTAAACAATCGTACACGTTTGTAAAAACAATAAATTTGTAGACATGCTTTAAGTTTACGGGGAATAATGACGAAGTGCAATCGCAGCATCTCATTTATAAATATAAAGACTTCCACGAAGAAATCATTGACCACTGTTAATTGACATGTAGGAAAGTTTATATTATCTGAAATGTGGGAAACTGAGCTGGGAATTTTAAAAAAATGTCGAAAACGACACAGCAGAGCGCACTAGAAGGTTTTTATAATTTTTCCCTTTGGATCATTTGAGAAACTTACGTTTGTCGCGTCTGAAAAGTGATTAACGTCGAGGAACTTGGATAGCGAATAGACAGCACCTATGAAGTTTATGGACAAAGAGATTTTACTTTCATGTGTAGCAAATGAGTCAATATTAATAAAAATACACATACGACAGTGAAATTGCTAAATAATACCATCTTTCAATAAAACATCCTGTATGTTCTACCATCGCCCTTAAAGACCAAAATGTAAAAATAGCTGCTATAGGAAGATCTTCCTATTTCCGCATTTTATTAACTTTGATAACATCTTGTAGAATAGTTCTGGATTGTTCCGTTAGGAGTATAAACATAGATCCTTAATATGTCGAATTGTGAGTTACCCATAAAGAATAATGTTATGAACTGTTCGGATGGTTCGTTAGCGATCATAGAAAATTCTTTGTTAATTGGCATACAGTGATTAATAAATAATGGCGTTAATTAGTTTGGATCGTAAGCATGTGTTTTTATTTAGTCTATAATTTAATCATGGGCTAAATCGTAATTTTTGTGTAAATGTTACCGGACATTGAATTGTCCGTTGGATTACTGACATTTGAATAATTGAATAAATAATTATTAATTGGTGGCGTACAAGGAAAGTTTTAACTGCAGAACCCAGGCTTGTACCGCAAGAATATTGACGAACTATGCCCTAGTCAATTTTTGAGTGAAAATCGTATATTGATAATTTCGGTCATTTTTCAGTTATGTTAAATTGTTTTATTTGCTTAAATTTTGGATTTTTGTAGAAACTAACGAATAAAAAAAAATTTCTCCAAAAATTGTCATCAGAAAAATAGAATCAAACAAAGAGCGGTTTTTGCCACTCAATTTTCCTTTCAAATCGAGCCTGGGACGTTTGAACTACTTTTTGTTCATCTCTTCTGGAAATTCGAGAAGCCCCAAAAGTGTCCAAATGGGTCCACCGTGTCTCAAGACGTTTCAAAATATGGAAAAATTCCAACATAAAACCTACGAATTTCCTTTAAGTCACCGAAAGAGCCGAAATGCCACCTTCGTCTAAACTCGAACGTCCATCAAATCCCGAACTAATCCATTTTTCTAAATACTCTGCAGAACAGGAGCAGTAAAACGATGGGTCTTCCCGAACACTCACAATTTAAATAATGCTAATATAGTGTACGTGTGTAAATCCTAACCTTAAAATAAGTAAAAAAAACTATGCCGGAAAACGGAAATTTTTTTCTGATGAACCGATCGAGTTGCGGTTTTCGGCACTGTCTTCGGAAAAATATCAGGAAAAAAGTCTATCTATTACACTTTGGGGCTGGATGGAAACTGCATTGTGGGTGCATAAAGTGCATCTTGGAGTGCATCAATTTTTCCGAATTTTCTAAAAATGGTAAAAATTGACTAAAAGTTGTAGAAATTTGTGTGCACGGGTTTTCGGGGTCGGAGATTCCGAATTTGACCCTGAAAAGGGAGGGCCTTCTGTAAAACATCGAATAGCTATCCCCATTCGGGGGGGTTTTGGGGTCGGGGATTTCGATTCTGACATTGAACCCGATGCCCTGGGGTTATCACAATCACAGGAATTTCCTAACCTCAAAAAATAGGCCAAAAATAGCAAAAATTCACGAAAAAGTGCTAAGAAAAATATATTTTTTTTCTATAATCAAATGTTCATTTATATGGTTAACACCCCGTCAAACGTGAATCCACGGTCAGAATTGATTGTTCTTTTTCTAACCTAAAAACGGGTTAATTAAGGTCAGACATCACGAATTTTCAAAAAAATAACAGATTCGCGCCAAATTTGGTTTACGGGAGTTTTCGAGGTCACTGATCACGGATCCGAGGCCAATTATGCAAAATTCAAGACGGCGGATCCAAGATGGCCGACCAAATTTTCAAAAAATAACGCGATTCGTTGTTTTCGATAAATTGTCAAAGAAATCACATTTCATTACATTAGAACTTAGACCTTTCGGAAATACAATCGAAATAAAATATCCAGTAAATAATTTCACTTGTACTTACTAGAGAGCAATTCTGGTTTGTGTTCGGAGACGACGTAGTGCGTCCACAGGGCCAGCTCGACCTTGTGCGGGGACCAGAAAGCAGCATCTGGCCTCTTGCACTCGCTCGCCGCCTTGTTCAGCCTCTCGGCCACCGAGTTGATGTGGTTGGCGAACTTCAGGTACTCCTTTGTGGTGTAGTCGATGCCCTCGATGTCCGGGATCGCCATCAGGCACTCGTCCGCCATGAACGGGGCGCTCTCCGGACAAGCGGCAGCCAGAAGAGCTGAAAATCGGTTCCTCGGTATTACAGAAACTTACACGGCGCTGCCAGTTCAAAAAAATCAGTAATACTGTCAGCGTTAGCCATTTAGATTTCGAAAAAATTTAGTACCGAGGAAATTTTTTCTTGTTTTCATATATTTTAACGGTTATTCGTTGTTACTTACCGGAAGCCATTGTCGTTCCGACTCCTTTCAGGTTCGACAGGGCTGTGATGGCTTGCTCCAGATTCGGCAGTTTCCTGAACGCTTTTTTTGTCTCCGCCATGACGGCCCTGGGAGTATTAACTTTAACGAGATAGGAGAGCTGGGGGTAGAATTTGCCCCTTATCTGTTTCCATTTCATGCACTGGACCAGTTCCTCGTGGATCATGTGGGCATCTTTGCCCCTGCTCTTGATCTTCTTTGGCAGTTCATTCTGGTACCTGTAAGACGACGAAAAAAATTTAGGGAAACGATATCAACATAAAGAAAAACATTTTTTTTACTTATGAAGAAATTTTTTTGCAAATGCAGAAATTCATTTAAAAAAATATATTTATAGGTTGGTTACAATTTTTTTATCGAACTTTAAAAACAGTAAATTATCAAAAAATATTGCTAGTTTCATATACGGGGTGTTACTTTTAATGGAGGTCAGTTTATTAAGAGTAACAGTATGTGATCTCGAGTTCATTTGTTGATTTGAAATTATTTTCTTTTTAATTGCGCTTAAACTTGTCTACGGTAATCAGTATTGCCCGTTTTTTACCTTTTTAAAATCAACTACAGTGAGGCAGAGAGCGAAATGGCAATGGAAAATAATTTTGTATTTTGCTTTTATGTGACTGCAACATGCTATTTTAAAATCAACATATTTTATTTGATATCAATGGACCGGTCAAAGTCCTTCAGTGGACAAATATTTCGTTGGTCAGCCCAATCAGTTGATTGGGAATATTGGGCAGGTTTTAAATACAGTTACTAAAGGCCGTTCGGCAAATTGTTTGACTAAAGAAGTTTCATCGAACTAGTCCGACCATTCGCTGAACAATTTTTTAGTATTTTTAAAAAAAATTATATTTTTGCATAATATATAGATACAGATAGGCATATCTAAAACGAATATACATATTCAAAATAATTATTTTTGCTGTTTTATAAAATTTGTATAACAAAAAATTAATAAAAAGTATTTGTTGCTATTTTTTGAAAACACTGTGTTTGGTTTATGAATCACAGTGTCAATGACCCTGATACTGATCTAGTTTAGGTGAATTACATAATATCTATCCACCTGATATAATACGACAATTTTAATTCAGCGAAACAAGAATAGCCGAATATGTCACTGCTTCATTCTGTTACACCTATTTTAGTTTTCAGTTTATCAGGCTTTTGTAATACAATAGACAATTTCTGACCTGAAGTAATAATTTTCACTGGTATTGGAACATAATTTGTATAATGCAGTGATGTGTCTTATTAAGTTTAAATTTACATTAAAATTTAAATTATTATTTAGTGAAGAGTCTTGGTTAGAGTAAGTAAAAAATAATGTTATAAATTTATTCAGTGTAAAGTGTGTTTGTCTTTACTGTTAAATCTCATCAAGGAAGTCTGTTCAGCCGAGGGGTATGAAAATTACGAAATAAAAAAAAACAGTTTTCAAGGCAGAATCGAGAAAACAATTTTATGTGCCTCTAAAAGACAAAGATAGCCTTTGAATAAATATTACCCGTTCAATATAATAGTCTTTCCGATCTTAATTGACCATACCCATACACAGGTCTAGTCGCCCAGTTGAAGAATGAGCCCGCGGGCAAACGCGGCACAAACACAGCCGCACTAGGCCACCTGACCATAAAGTCGGTTGTCAACAAATGGCCTAGCAGTGTAGTGCAGCAATGCGGAATTTGGTGTGATTCAGGTAAATTTTAATTTATTATCGGTACCTTCTATTAATCATTCATATTTGCAAAAGGGAGAAATAAGGGGGATATTTTGTTTACTAATATTATGGCATTTTGGAAACCTTTTGAAACGGAACAAAATGAGATTTACCATTAATATAAGAAAATTGTTTGAGGACATAAATAATTAAAATGTGTTGTTGGTCAAATGAACATATAATAGAAATTTTCTACACATTATATACAAATTATTATAATTTTTTACCTTTAGCAGAAAACTTTTTTAGGGACGCCTATGAAACTCATAAAATTTTATTGCTAGACGTTTTTATATTATTTAAAAAAAACTATTTTTTTCTCTTCAGAAGCAAGCAAGAAATTCCATTATTCCAATATTGCAGTTTTTTGTGGTAAAAACGACGTTTCCAAATGCATCTTTAGCATTTTAGTTTTATCAGTGCCGTAGAAAATGGGGGTGGAGGGTGCCCCTGTTTAAAGAAATTGTTATACCACAAATAGAAAAATTAGCTTCACTTTTTTACGCACTTATTTTTACACTTTACACCAAAAAGTAGGGTCTCGAGCTTTTGCGATTCCGAATAAACATGTTTAGTAAAAATGTTTTACCGTTACCTAATAATTCGTAATTTAATAATTAATAATTTTGCAAGTATATAGCTGTTCCATATTGAACTGGTGCAATTTAGATTCAATATTTGTTTATCAAAGAATGTATTAAATTCGAAGAGCAATACAGAAATGCAATAATATAGAGGTATTCCTTTTGAAAAAATGTAAAGTCGAGAATAAGTGGTATAACAGAAAATAATTTTATAATGCATTTGATGACAATTTTTCTTATTATTATCACTATTCAATCTATAGAGGATTATATCTTAAGTGAGGCACTTCAAAAATTACATTTAAATGCAGTTATTAGGAAATATTTTTGATATCTTTAATTGAGAAATAGATTTAAGAGAATTTAATGTAAAATGCAACAGATTTTGAAAGAATTATCATTTTTCTATTTTGTCAGTGACGTACCAATTTTATTTAAAAGCCTCCGCCACCCATGTTTTTACTGCACTAATAATACGGAAAATTTAAAATACATTCTAAAAATGCGTCTTAAAATTTCAATGATAGAACATCGTTTGTTCGAGAAATTTGAAAATAAAAAAAATACTTTTTAAAGCAGACTAACATCACGTACCACAAAAGAAACTAATTTTTCGTATGTACTACCGCATAACGAACTATTTAAATTCAAATAAATTAGCGAATTTTGTGAAATATTGTATAGTGTGCGTGTTCTTCACATACGTTTATAACGTATATGTATTTCTGTAGAACTCCTCACTTTGATAAAGCGATTTTCATAAACAAAAACATGTAGATAAAGTCGTCTACATGTGACTAAATAATACAAGCTCCACATAACGATATGTCATCTAAACTTCTACCACAGATAGTCTCGCGCTCGCACGTTTTTTTTTTTTTAATTTAAACTTCAAAACACTGAAAACATTGTTTTCCAAAACCCGAACCCCGTGTAAGTTGCGTAAACTCGCCGCTCATGGCTATTACATAAAAAAAACATTCAATTATGTTTCCAGGAACCGGAGATTCCCATTGAACAAGGAGATCATACCCGCGTCTTTATTCTTCTCTATATATATTATTGACTGGATGTAATTATAGCCCCACGTCTCACTCTATGATGAATTGTATCCTTATAGTTGCATTTCTGACCCAAATAACAGTTCGTCGGAGAAGAGGTTTCGTCCGGCTTAACCTAGATAGCTTTACGTCTCTTGAACATTTTTATAACTACGAATTGAAGGGTTAAAACGCATAGCGCCTTATGTAAATATCTAATATCCAGCGAGTTGTTTATTTCATTAGTAAAATAATTTAATTTAATCAATTAAATAGAAACTGAACTAGATATTTAATTTTGTGGAATTATAGGCAAATGTTTATATGTATTTCTTTCTAATATAAGAAAAATGTAAATCCCCATTTAATAGAAAACGGCACGACCAAGTAGTATCTGTAAAAGTTAACAGTTCTTAGGTAAAGTGAACAAATATATAGGGTGTAATCAAAACGGATGGCGGATTCTACGGCACAAATCAACAGAAAATTTATACAGTGCTTTCGAAAAGTAACGAATAAATTCATTATTTTTTAAATTGAGAAGTTTTCGAAAAAATTCCCTGGCACGTCGATTTTGTTTTTAAAAAAGGCTCTTTTTGACATAGGACATTCTACATTCGCATCATGAAAAATTATGGTGTTACATAACAAAAATTTCAAGAAAATAATGTTTGAAGATTTTAAAATTTAATTTTCACAATACTGAAAATTATAATGATTATGTAAAAATCGACTAAATTAAATGTTCAAATTGTGCACCGTTGGCTGCCTGACAGTAGCCAAAACAATTAATAAATTCTTTTTGGACATTATCTATAACTTCACAAGGTATACGATGTATCTCGTGACGAATTCTTGCTTTTAAATCTTCTAAATTAACCGGTCTAGTAACGTATACTTTGCTTTTTAAGTATCCCCACAAGAAATAATCTAGGGGTGTCAAATCAGGCGATCTGGCTGGCCACTCAATCGGCCCCCTTCTCCCTATCCAACGATTCGGGAACAGCTCATCTAAATAAGCACGGACAGGTGTTGCATAATGGAGAGGTGCACCATTTAGTCGATTTTTACATAATCATTATCATTTTCAGTATTGTGAAAATTAAATTTTAAAATCTTCAAACATTATTTTCTTGAAATTTTTGTTATGTAACACCATAATTTTTCATGATCTGTGTATGTAGAATGACACGCTCTTTCAAATGGCATGGTCAAAATTGGGGGCTGCTATTTAAAAAAATTGTCGATGACGTCATATCTCGAACAACGATGACGTCACAAATATGGGTCGTACGTCAAAAAATGCCTTTTTTAAAAACAAAATCGACGTGCTAGCATTTTTTCGAAAACTTCTCAATTTAAAAAATAATAAATTTATTCTCGTTACTTTTCGAAAGCACTGTATACTTAAACGTGGATTCAAAATTAATGAAAGCGTGATTTATTTCAATTCAGCTTTTGTTAAAACACAATTGGGAGGTGGCCCGTAAATAATATTTAATTTAATTCATAGAGAATGCAGTTACTTAATTATTATTTCAAAAATAATTTGATCTCTTGATTCTTTAGCAGTAAGTACTTTGAAAAAAATTAATAAGGATAATATTTTTACCTCCAGAATTACGCCACTGTATGTAACAAATATGTGTTGTCCATATACGTTTGTACAGTAAATTAAATTAAAAATTTCTTCAGTCGGTTTTTTTGTAATTTAAAAAAATATATATTTTTTTCAAATAACACCCCATTTGTTAATTTAGAAAACGCAACACTCCTGGACACCTGCTTGACTTGTGACGTAGAATCCCTATTAAAATTTGGTTCAAGTATTTCACTAATATACTCTACAAAAATAAGAAATATTCGGAAAATATTAATATATCTTAAACAAAATGGTTATCTACTGCTCGTCAATTAAAAAAAAAATACCTGTAATACCTATCCTATACTTATACTACTTTCTGGAATAACTAATAAATAGATCTGCAATCCCAAAAACTTGCATATCTGCTAGGTATGTCTCGAATGCATCGATAATATTCAAGTTGCCTTCGAATTAAATTTTAAAACTCTTATCCTTAATATGCTACTAATAACATTATAAAACATTACAAAATTATTATCAGCGGCATTAAGTTTAATATTTACGTCCCTTATCTTATTTAAAATGATGTATAACAAAATAATTAACAGGGTTTATTCTTTCGAGACATTTTTTAATTTTGAGGTCCCAAACACGATGTTGTAACAAACACGCCACTTTATTCAGGAAAATATTACTAGGAAAAACGTGTAAACAACAAAAATATGTTTCAGAGTATTGATCATCAGAATACCGAAGCAGATATTTACAAGTTATAAATACTAAAGCAAATAAATATGTCGATCAAGGCACAAGCAATTTTTGACATGCTAAAAGTTCACAAAGAAATGCCCAAAAAGGCGAAATAATATCTAAATAATGAACAAAGTATTGTGAAATATCCGAGAATTCATCTGGGAATTTTCCACTGCGAGCAGAGCCCTTAAAATAGCTTTCCGAAAAAATAGGGGAGAATCAAATTATGGGTATGGGTAAAAAAATAACACCGGAGCACGTTTTGATGGGATATTATTAAAAAACTACACAAAATAACCGAGGATCGACTCAACGACGTTAATAGAAATCCCCACTACTTTAAAACAAGCATTCGGTCAAGATCAATCAATTTAAAGTATGAAAACGGCGCGATAAATAAAAGTAAACAACTTCAAGGATCAGAGTGTGGATATCATACCGATTTTTGCAAAAACTCCGGGGTTAAACCCGTAAAAACGGGCTAAATTTAAAGCCAACGTAGAATGCTTTGTTTGAACAGGCACCATTTTGAAAGGCTTCCATATAGATTACATTGCATGTTTTACGTTATTTCCACCCGATCCGTAGCTGCTAAATCGCCAACACTCACTAATTATCACAACGGATGGCAAAAGGGATGTTTTGTAACCCGTGAAAATACGGTTCGACGTTAATAAATGGGTATTCGAGGGACTGCAGTATAAAAAGGACGAGGCCATGACGCCGACATGGTAACGCGAAATTTCACATTCGAAAATGCAAGTATTTGAGAGCATAGTGCAGTTGTCATCGATTACCACGTGACGAGCGTGATTTTAATGACCGTCCGAGAAAGATATCGCGGGGGTGCTAAAGCTATTCAGTCGACGACTTAGACAGTGAACACATTAGTAGGGTTCAATGACACAACACGAAATTCACTAAAATCCACTTACCAGTTGTCTAATTTAATCAGTTCCTCTGGTTTTTTGGCCCTTCGGTCGGCTTTGAGTCTGAGGGCTTGGGGGTAGAGTTTCAGGACCTGCTCGAATTGTTGACAGGTGCCGTGGGTGAAGAACGTCGCCGTACCTTTCGCGGAGGCCATACCTATAGCTGTTCACTAACTGGCACTGCTAAGCTGGCGTGCTGTAGCCTAGTTGTTCCGCTGGCCGTAGTTGGCGGTGTGGCAGCACCGGCGAGTGGCCTCGATTGTCTGATGTTTCCCCAAGCCCGGCCCAGCAAGACTGACATTCCCCTGCGACGTTGCCGGTTCCTCTGCCGTTGTTTTTTCACGTAAACACGGGATGAAAATGCAGTTTAGCAGCTTTCAGGACGGGCGAAATTCTGAAAATAATAACCACCTGTAAAAGCTGAATGAAATTGATAAACACAAACATTTAGAGCGCCGTGGACTGCTGTGTTCTATGATTCATTATCTGGTACGTGACCTCGTATGCGTACTTGGTTGAACAGCGAGACTATTGCTTTATATAGATGGAATATAACTAGCATATTTTTGTAGAGAGCTCTGTTTAATTCAATTTTTATGAAAACGCCCATATTTTTATAAATTATAGAGGCTTTAACACCAAGATGCAAATATAAATTAACGAGTTTTAAACAAAAATCTGCAAACTATTTGTAATATGTACGTTTTTAAAATTTATTTTAGTGCGTACATTTTATTTTGATAGGTAAGGAACAATTCTAATTCACACTGTTAAATAAAAATTGACAGTTGTTAAAATTGAATCGGTAGGTAGAATACATCCGTAACCTGAAAATTATTTACTTTTCTTTTACATACAGGCGTTAAATTTTAAATTTGTGCCATGTATTTCCTACAGCCACAACATTTTTAAAGCACAACTTAATTTCCATGAAAGATGAGGAAATAAAATTGACAAAAAATTATGAAATAACTGTAATATTCTGATTTTTTTTTTTGTAATTTTTAAGGATGAAATATTTTACTTTACCTTAAACTTTGAACATTTATAAATACTTTTGAGTGAGAAAAGATTCTACAAATGTATGAACCAATAGAACATGTTGGGTCTTTTGCGTTTGAGAGCAAATAAAACTTTTTTCAAATCAAATTTTGGCCATATTTTTTAATTTATATTTTTTTATTTTATTATTTATTATTTATATTTTTTCTAAAAAACATAATATACACTATATTGGGTACCTACCTATTAGTTTTAGATTGTACTTTGCCGCAGTTAAAACAAAACAGAATTGATACTCAGATTAAAAATTTGACTCGAAATAGTCGGAAGATATTACAGAAAATTTATTTTTTCAACTTCGACACCCTGTATCTCGAAAACTAATAGTGCAACATTGTACGTATATGACTTTTCCACTTTTCCCCATTCATTTTCGTCGTAGAATCTAGTGGTAAAGTTTGTAGTTATATTGTTAGACACAACTAAAAAATTTTAATGATAGATTTTGCAATATCTAAAAAATCCTTTACATACTAAAAACCATCCAAAAACCCAAGCCTATTAGTTAAATTGTACCCGAATTTGCTCATACGCAAGACTTGATAATTGAGTATCGGTATCATACGATGCGAGATCCTCCCTAGCTAGAGCCCCAGCGGCAACAGGCCCCCCTTTTCATATATCCAAAGGGTAGGGGTAGCGATTCGAAAAACATCTGCGGTCCCAGTTTGTGAGGTTAGAATATGCTAAACTACAGGGGCGGTGATGAATATCTTCCACCGGCTTCATTATCCATAAAAATTACTATGAAACGGTGATGTTTGCTTCAAATCCTTGATTTTTTCTACATACAGTGTTCTGTTCAAGGACTAACCACCCACGTTACTTTTTTTTATATATTCACCGATTTTAACGAACTTTCCGTTTTGTAAGGTATATCTTCTTCCCTCATTCACTACTTAAGTCAAAGTCATCGCCAACTGCGACCATTTTTTAAGTTTTACAGAAAAAAAATCGATAAAAAGATCAGTAATATCATGGAGACACCGTTTTTTATACTATTTCTGAAATAAAATCGCACATAATTGTACTTTTTTATATTTAATTTTCTTAAGTATGTGTCCGGAAATGCTTTGTTTCTAGAAACAGGGTGTTGAAATTAAAATAAAATACCCCTTCAAATGCTTAACATAGATTAATGTTACCCTGAAGTACAATTAATTTAATTAATTAGTTAATTTTCTTTTTGACCTGCTTCGAAAATTATTATTGTTATTATTATTAATTATTACCACACACTATATACTGGTACCACAAAAATCGATGTTTGTGTTTTAAGTCATCTGTAAGAATCCGTTGGGACCGCTTCACTGTAAAGATTTCTGGTGGGACTTTTCTCATTTTTGAACAAAAAAAAATAGCTGGCCATGAATTTAAATTAAAAAACGTACTTCCACGAGATCTATCCATGAACAAACAACGAGGGTGGTATATTTTTAAACAAAACACCCTGTATATCAAAGCTTATCACTAACTTGACTTCCTGAAGAAGTAAAACACAATTAACGAAACGTCATATGGATATATTTAAGATTACTTGGGCAATTACCGGTTGTAAACAAAAAATAATAATGTTTATGTCAGTATACTTATACATATTGCAATATAAATGAAAAATATCATCTTGGTAGTAAAGATAAAATTTCAATTGAATTTATCATAAACTTATTTATTAATTTATCTGTGTTTACTTATTAATTTATCATTTATAAATATTATTACCAATAAAATATTAACGGATATTGCAGAGTGCATAAATTCGCATGTGACAAATATAGCTTGAGTACTTTTAAAATAAAGTATTCAAAAATGAAATAATATTTTCCAAATTCGAGTGAATTGGCAAATTTTTGCTAAGGACGATCCTGTTTTGGTTTAACCTATCGATAATGCACATGCTCGCGTTGAACTTGGTTATAGTTAATGCAAATGGAATTAATTTAATCATACGAATGTTGTTGTTCGACTAACATACCCAATTTGTTACACTAAAGTAAAATAATATCTATACTATTATCCTCAAATAAATCGTCTATATTCAAATATCGGGATAACGATAAAAAACTGTTAAAGCAATATTGAAATTTAATGTATTGCATTATTAAGAATGTGATAAATAGAAACCTGCCAGAAATTCCATTAAAAGCCCATAGATAAAGTGGATTTTATTAAATAATGATTTTTGAATCATAAAAAATTGGGAATTTTAAAATATTGAATACAAAAAATATCCATTAACCTTTCCTAAAACTATAATTACCAGTTTCAATTAAAGTATACAGGGCGTTCTTCGATAAACGTCCTCTAGCTTGTAGCCAAGCATGTTTGTTACGCTAAAATTTAAAAAGTTTGTATCCCAAAACAGAAAAAGTAGTTAAGCTTTTATACGGGGTGTAACACCGCAGCGTTCCAAAAATTAAAAAGTTATTCTTGTCCAAATCTAAGAACTTTAGATATTTTATACAAATATTTGCCCTTGACGGTTCTTAGAAAGAAGTTATATTTTTAAATATCATCTGGAGAAATGTAGATATTGAAACAAAATTTTGTTCAAAAATGTATACAGGGTGTTTCTTAAGTAGACGTCAAAAATCCAGAGGCGTAATCTGTGGCCAAAAATAATGTGGGGTCTTAGGAAAGCCATTGTCCAGCTACAGCGTCTCAAAAATTAAAAAAAAAATCAGTTTAAAAAATCCATTTTGTTAATCGGTTTGGAATACAAATATAATACAATGACGCATATGATGACCTATTTTATTTGTAATATCATACAGGGTGATACATTTTTTTGGCAAATAATGATTGATTATACCCTCATCTCCGCCACTGGTAAGTTTCAAAAGCTGCTAATTTTTTGTGTCATACCTACTGTCATACTAAATATGCACACCGAATTTGGTTAAATTATCTCAAGCGGTTTAGAAATTAAAAACTGTTTTTTTTTGACACGCTGTAGGTGTACAATGGCTGTCCTAAGACCCCATATTTGTATAACAAAAACCCTACAGAATACGCCTCTGGATTTTTGACCTCTACTTAAGAAATACCCTGCATAATATAGTGAAAAAAATTGGTCTCAGCTGAAATCAATGACGCAGATAGACAGTATAACAACTCTTTTTACCAATTTAGATATTCAATTTTCACTTGAACGACAATGATGTTTTGATTTTTTGTACATTTACCTTTTGGTAAAAATTAACAAGTTGTAAAGACGATACTTTTAGATAAATGTAAAATTTATTTGACTTTGCAAAACATGTATATTTTTAATATACTTATTTTATTATTAGCTTTTTATTTTTAAAGTATTAAACTACAATTTCAAAAGAATTAAAAAAAATGTCATTAAAAATTTAATTAAAAAAGCCAAAGAACGTTCTTTTATACCGAAAATCTAGGTATGCCAAATACTCGTAACTGATATTGATTGTGAGAAATAACTACTCTGAGGACTATGTGCCCTGACCAGCATTGAATTATACCAGCAATATCTACTAAACAGCTAGAAGTTAGTAATTATCTCAATTAAATTTATATATACCCAGATGCCAATAGTATATCTAGATTTTTGGTAGATACCAATAGATATCGTTTAAATTCATTTGATAAAATTTTTAGAAAATTTTATTTTAATTTATTTGCTAGCTTTTAGTTATTGTAAAATAAAATATCGAGATCTAATAATAAAATATATATTTTAAATTAAAGATATTTAGCAGAAAATGCAAATGTTCGTTTTTGTCAAATGTGATGGACAACAGAATACGTAAACAAAATAATTTGAACATGTCAGGTATAGGTTTACTGTTCTCAATTAACAATATTTAGATGTATCACATTTTATTTTTTACAATTTTTTATTAGTAGCAGTTAAGTATTGCTCGTGTATTTCAATGCTGGTCAGAGTATGTAGTCCGCAGAGTAGTAGTTTTCCGTATCATCAGTTCAGAATATTGTAGATACCTTTTGCATAACTAGATATGACAAGATTGTTAAATTTATATGAATTATAAGAAAATAAAATGTGTTTAACTGTATTAGCGATTCCTATATTCGAATGAATCAGCTGATAGTACTGATACCCTTTGTTTACTTGTATCCGTAGTCTTATATTTCAAAAATTAAAGTACCAAAAGTGATTGTTGATACGAGAATATATTTTTAAATTTGGTTGAGATGTTACGCCCCTGTATTTTTGATACATTGTAGTGTTTCACCGTAGACTATAGTCATTCCCAGTTTGTACCAGTTTTCTGTATAATTCACGCTTATTTTAATTGTCAGTGTTGCGAGAAACAACTACTCCGAGGGCTATATGCCCCTACCGGC